CATTGTTTCAATAATTCTGGGGGTCAACAGGATGGGGAAAGATAATTTAGAACACCCAATTTAGAGATGAATGTTGAATGCAGGTGGGGTCAGGACAAAACTAACTTAAACTTAATTCAAACACTATTTGTATGATTATTTCCTAGGTATTCAATCATCTCCAGTTTTTGTTACATTATGAATCACATTTCAGTGGCAATTTTTGGAGGTAATTTGGAGACTCTATCCAAGATTTTTGAGGGCTGCATATACGGTACCTGTGAAGTCACAGATTTTGCACCCCTGGTTTAGATTATCAGTCATACTCTATTTCTGGTATAGTATGGGAGCTAATCACCAAGGGATAACCACAGCAGTCAGACAGATTTTTCCCATTCAGGTCACCTAATTTCTCCTGGTCCATAGACAGTCAGGGAAATAATCTTAGTATGTTGATTTTGGTATATGAACCTCCGTTTCAATACATCAGCTTTGTGATATGGTATATGAACTTTTCTATATACCTAACTCCCAATATATTATAATCATCCCTTTTTTCTAAGAGCTGATGGGTAATAAAGAGGTGGAATAGCAAGGTTTCACATAGTGAGATGGTGAGAGACAGACTCTTAGGAACAAAATGTTAGCAACAGCAACAGAAAATTTGCTGAAAATGTCCAAGTTGCACTTGCAGCAGGAGATGAAAGTCTGGTGCCAGCATGATATCCAGACACAGGTAATAAAAGCATTATGTGTAGTTTTTGGTATTTCTAATCGACTGCCAAGAAGTTTTGACCCATTTATATGTTAACTTAAAATGCATAAGGTGCTCTCTCACACAATACAAGTTAAAGAACCGACAATGTTATGTGAGCTATACCTAAAGCTTTATATAACTATAAAGTACATATATAGTGTTGAACTGTCTCCATGAAAAATTGATTTTATAGCATCCAACATTTTCAGAGCTTTTAGATAGGCAATGCATTCAGAATGTTAGCTAAGACCGGCTGTGACCAGATTTTTGTTATCTAGCAATGGGATAGAGGCTTACCGTGCAGAAAGCTAGATGAGCATGGGAATATAAGCAAAGCCATGCCAGATGAGACCAAAAGTCCATCAGGTCCAGTAATCAAATGCCTCTGGTAAAAACCACCTCCCTTTTTTCCTTCCTTAACAGAGAATGGTGTGGTATACTACCTCTGTACCTAGAAACCTAAGATAACCATCATACGTAGGAGCTACTGATGATAGCTATTTTCTCCATAACTTTGTCCAACACCTCCTGCTGTTTAAGCCATGTATGTCAGCAGCCAACCTCCAGCAGTAAAACCAATAAGCTAATTATGCAGTGTGTGAAGAGGCCCTCTCTTTTGTCCTGAATCTCTTGCCAAATACTGTTACTGAATGACTCCAGGTTCCAGCAGTAACAGAAGGGGAACATCTCTGACTTCATACAGTGCATCATATCCTCTTTGATAATCTCTTTTATGATCATGTCGGACATTAATTTTGAAAGACAGCTGCATTTAAGTTTTCAGAGTCTGGTCATCGTTGGAACCAGTTTACACAGCAAACTCCAGTATTGGAAATGTAGACTGTAGCTGATCTATGATGAAGCCATTTGATGGTTATAGCCCCTGCTCAGCTCTTGGCTTGCCTCCTACTTACTGCATCAGTAGGAGTGGCACAGCAAATATAAATTCATGTGCCAAGGTTAGACAAGCGTTTGCTTATTCCTTACATGTTGTGTTTTGCACAAGCCAGTTGGTAGTTGCATCACTTCAAATAAAATTTAAGAGCACACTACAAACTTGTTTCTAATATGTAAATACCTGACCACCAAAAATGCCAAAAATTCAACTCCAAGAACAATGGATTTTTGTATTTTTGCCACCAAGTTCTCATCAAAGAACCACAAAGGAATCAAAATGAATTGGATGTTCTCCCTGCCCCAAATTTGGCCTTGTTTCTCCTAGCCTCAAAACACTTCCACAATTGCACTATTACTATCCAAGTGTTTTTCTGCCATTACAGAAATAAGACCTGGCCCATAGTTACAATGGTATATATCCTTGTCACAACTTGGTGCCTTTCAGATGTGCTGGGACATAACTCCTGGAATTCCTAGCCAGCCTCAATATATTTGGAGGACATCATATTGGGGAAGGCTGCACTTTATAATGAAGGCATAGACTCCAGTGGATTAGGTTGGAGCAGTCATGGAAAGGCTAATGGAATATTTGTAATAGCATGGAGAGGGTTTTGGTGGGTGTGTCATCATTCCCTCTATTTCCTATAGTCATACTCTGAGTATTATATAACTCATATGAAACCACCTATGCAAAACAGACCTTTTCCCATATCTGAAAGTGTAAGGAAAACCCAAGCTTTGCAAAATAGAAAAACTATTGGGAGAACAAGGCGGAAAGGACCAAATTCAGCTTAGTCAGAATGCCCTGTCCTGATGAATTTCTAACTACTGTATATGGGCAGAGCGGAATATAATGCAATGTCTAGGATACAGAATGTTGCATGTTTGTTACCTGTCAACATCCATATGTGAAGAATAATATAGAAAGTCCAGGAATGATAGAGTTAGGATGCAGGCTTTGTATTTCTTTTCTAACATTTGAAAAATATCAATCCTATTTGCTAAGCTACATCAGATCATCACTTTACTTTCTACTATTTCCTCAAAGATCATTTTCTTTTGTGTTCTAAAGATAAGAAAGGACAAATTCATCTTAAAACTAGCTGAAACCTACATAATCATAATATCTGAGGATTCTGATGGAAATCTAGGAGGTTAGGAGTGAACATCCTAAAGTTTTCAAAAAAAAAATCCCCATTTTTCTCAGCTACAAAAATGCAATATCTGGGAGAACACGACTTTAATGACTAAAATTACTCTTATGGCTGAAAAATTTTTGCTCCTAAGGTAGATATAAGTTATTTCATTTCTATCACACCACAGTCTATATGAATTAGCAAGCCTTATTGCGTTTTTCTCCCAGGCAGCGAGACTATAGTAATAGACGTTAAGGCTAGCAGTGAGGCTGGATATTTTAATCTCACAAGAGTTTTTGTGATAAGTAAATTTGTATATGTCTACTCTAAAGCAAATCCCATGTTCATGGTATAGAATGGCAACCTTTATTTTTAATTTATTATCTGACATAATTTTATGTAGCATATAGCTTGCTGATGGTAGATATTTAGTATGCTGTAACTGAAATGATTTGGTTTAATAAGCTTTAACTATATGAATAGGCTACAGACCTGTAGAAATTCAAGGTTCTAAATACATACTGTACTCCAGATACTTTAGTCTGAGCCACTGGAGTAGCTTACAGGCTAACGAAGATAGCTTAAACTTCAAACTACTATCTTACTAGAGAAGATATGGTAATTCATCAGCCCAGATGATCTGAGGGAACAGGAAGGGTCTGTCTGTTTCTACAAAAATCTTACTTCCAGATTGCTTCCTATATCTGAATAATTCATTCTTGGGAGAAGCTGCCAAGTAGACTTGCCTTTTACTATTGTAAAACTTGTCACCCCTGCTCATTTTAGACTATCCTAACCACCTCTGGGTCCCTGAGAGCCTGATAAGAAGCTGACCTTTAGTTTATCCATAGCAGGATCCTCCTCCCTCTCGAATAACTCTACAGTATAGGGTATTCCTATGTATTGCCAGGACACCATATTACCTCTTTAAACAAATATCAGCATTTATGTGAACACTGTCCATGTGAAAGAGGTTACAACTACATGTGTAGTTCCACAGCCAGAACATGCTCTGAACACTCCTCTGCTCCACATCAGTCCTGGAAAACCAAACCCAACCAAACCCTGAGGTTGTAAGAAGAGGATAGACAGTTGCTCTTCTTACTGTATGAAACAGAAGGCAGTACTAAAGCATGCTGTGCTGAGGGAAAGTTAAATTGAAAACATTTTGAATTATTTAGAGAGCTAAATAAACTTTCCCTAAATCCAATTTTCTCCAGCAGTGTCACAGGAACCACAAAGCCGTCATCCATGACAAGCTTAGCAGTGTTGAAATCAAGAAAATGGCAGTAAAAGGACATTCTCAAGCTATTTCACAATTCAGTTTCGGCACTGTTGACGGCTATGTTTATGTGTCTCCACCTTGGTGTCAGAAAATCCAACCAAGTCTGGTTCTTCCAACCTTCTGATAGCTCTTGCTTAAAAGACGAAGAAAATCATTGAACTGATTTTTGATCAACTTTTGGGGAGTGTCAGATAATTGGAAATGAATGTGTGTGAGATGGATGCATCATAAAATTATGGTGAATGCCATTGTGGATAATGCTGTAACATGTCTCCCAAAAAGGTTTATGCAAACCTGGTAACGGTAAGTATTGGTGTGGAGATGTGCTTCAATACTAAATTCATTTTGTGGGCACTCCGTCAAAAACATCCCAGTAAAGCTGAAACAAGTATGTTCTGAACTTTTTAAATCCAGGCCTGTGGCTGGGAAAAACGTGTGTGAGAGAGTATAGCTTAAGTGATAAAAGATAATTGGACTGGCTCTAATTGACTACAATGCACGACAGTTTGTAATACAATTCTGCCAATATACTTCAATGGTGCATTGGAGGCCTCGTGCAGAAGAGAAAGGAAAACAAAACCGTCATCCAGCATGTTTATTTGTTGATTCGCTGTTCTCTTCCATACCTTTATTTCTTGTTCCCTTTCCCTTAATCCATTCATATTATTCATATTAGTCAGATCTATCTGACGACCAGTTTTTAGACTGTGGGGGAAGTAACTTTTCTATCTATCTAATTATCTATCTGCTAGATCCAAGACCATGCATATCTATCATGGTACATTTCAGCACCACTGAAGTAGCCATCAACAGCACAAGCTTCTTGGAGTCATGTTGGTTAGCAGATAAACTAACTTCCAAATCAAACAACTGAAGCCTCTCTGCCATTTCATTTTCCAAGAATGTCTACAGTGCCAGTTCCTCTACTGTATAAGAATTCTTATACCTAAAGCTTCTTTCTCATCAAAAAAGAATCGTTGCTCTTCCTTGAGGATATAGACCCAATGCATATTTTCGGACTCCAGTCAGTGTTATAAATGAAACTACTTATAGTAACCTTTTCCGGTATCGTAAGTGTTGGAATTACTCAGAAAATCAAGGGAAAAGGATTAAACCTTTTGTAGAAATGTCACATGTTTGCTGGGTTCATATGTAGTGCTAAGAAATAGTGGCTTATTGGTTTGTAAACCATAGCTATGAACGAAGAAGTGGTTTATTCAACAAATGATAATTACACAAATCATGGGTTAGCATGAGGCACAAGTCCAGACACTGGCTTTTAAATGGGGAGATTAAAAGCAAAATGAGTCCATTATTCTCCTCTTACCCAAGCCCTGCCAGATCCAGAGTAGTAAACAGAAGTCAAAGCCTTCTCACAGAGAGCAGAAGGAAAGCAGTGATGCTAACATGGGACGCCAACCATCATATCATTCAGAGTACTGCTTTCTGCGTCTCTTGAGCATAATCTCAGTGCCAGTGCTCTCTTGCCCTTTTTCTTAACTGGAGAGGATCAGCAGCTAGTCATGAATGAAGGATCACTGAAGTGTAACTAAAGAAAACAGTGCAACGGTCCAACAAAAACACTGACCACTTAGAAATCAGATCTAGGCTTTTGTTTCCTTCCCATTCTTCTTTCTGTTTTCAGCTGAAGTAAAAGCTGATAAATATGACACTTGTGAGGAAAAAGGTTTGGAATTTAAGGCATCCAGGCAGAGGCTCTTCTTGGCATCTAACTGCATAGATGTGATTGCTTGGAGCCAGACTATATTCAGCTAGCTCTGTATACAGTAATTCAGATAAGACAATGAACCTTTGGTTGATTAGCAACAAAAAAAAGTCCCTTCCTACTTGAAATGAGAAAGGATCTTTACATGGTGATTTAGGTACAAACAATTCCAGGTTTGGTCTGGGATCACAGGACATTTAAATGATGGTTTTAAGAACCTAATCCTACCCTACCAGAAACCTATTGCTACCTTCACTGCAACCAAGTTAACCTGTTGGGAGGTAATGAACATATAACTTCCTTGTGGGGGAGTTGAGTGGTGATATAAATTTGATTTATAAATAAACAAACAAACAAACCAATAAATAAATATAAAAGGTCCTCCAAAGGGCACTATGCTGATAGTCCCTCAGATAAGGGGTTCTATGTGGAATATGTTGATAATCACAGTTATAGAGCATTCCCACGCTTGTGATTTATAGCACCATCCAGCTGGGTGATGGTTGGGTGATACTGTCAATCATTAAAGTAGAAATCCTCAGTCACCAGAGAAATCGCTCTTCGCAATAATGCAACCATATAGTTCCACATCCCTCTTTGACCAGATCAAGTAAGGTATTGGAGGTACAGGAAACAGGGCAAGATACCTATCTCAAAAGGAGCTTGTGTTTATTTTCGGTTTTTTAAAAAAAAATTACATACCACCCTTAAAAAGTACAGTTTCTTCAGAATGGCTTTATCCAAGGAAGGGAGGGATAGGTTAAGACTGAACATTTTTGTTGAGAACAGTCATTTAATCTAGATCTACCCAATCTGGGGATCTCCAGATATCCAGACATCAATTCTCAGTGTGACCATCACTGAGAATTCTGGGAGATTCTCTTTCTACATATCTTAAGGGAATCCATGTTGGGAAAATCTAATTTAGTCCCTCATTGTTCAGCCTAGCAGTATGCAATGCTGAAGCTGAAATTTACTCAGCCTGACTATATCCAGGCGTCACCTAAAACATTTTGCAATTTGAAGCAAATAGCTTTCTTCTTTCCAACCTATGATGCATACTAACCCTGAATATGTGCAAAACTGGCTTTAGCTAAACATTTTATTTCAGATTAGTAGACAGAGAAATCAAATCCCCATGCAGGTGTTCTGGCTCTTCTTCCTTAGCAGATGGGAACACATGGATTTTCAAAACCCAAACAACTAAGACTGGACAGAGAGAAGTAAGTTCAGATGGGAGGAACAGCTTGTTTTTTGGATGGTTTCATAAAATAAAATAAAAAATAAAATAAAATAAAAAATGTACTGGCATAAACATTGCAAGTGCCAGTTGATACTTATCTATTCAAATTTGGAACAATGCTTACAATTTAAAGAAGGGAAAGAGTTTGATTTGGCTGTCTGCTCAGTCTGCTATCCACATTGTATTGATGAGCAAGTCAAAAGGCCAAGCAACTCCTCCTCCTCCTTTTTTGCTAGTTTTCTTTAGACCAATAATGGATTGGACAGCTCTTCAAACAGAGGATAGTCCTTGGAAAAACAGGACTCCAGACCATCTTTTTTTTTTTTTTAGCAGAAATATAATGGTTGTATTATTGCTGACCAGCCTTGGATCAGCAGATACTCAGTATGCTTTGCATCACAATTCTATTCAGGCCTGCTCAGAAATGATTCCCACTAAATTTAGTGGAGTTTATTCCTGTTAAATATAAGAACAATTGGATCGTTCAACATATAAGAGGATACTACAACATATTAGTAGAATGTAACTGAATATAGTAAGAGGTTTCATGTGTGTAGTCAAAGCACTTAGATGTTTTAATACATCTCCTCTCTTTTATAAACACAGATTTTATTCACTCTATTAAATGAACATTTGAGGGCCATTCAGAGCCCTAAATAAGGGTTTTAAATATGCCAAAAATCTTGTTCACCATGAATAAAAAATAAATTCCAAAGAATAAATTTTAACAAACTTTGTGGGAAAGGAGTTGTACTGCTCTAGCTTAGAAAAAGTGCATCTGAGAAAGATTCTGTAATATACTGAAATTCAGGACACAGAAGAGCTTGTGGGACTTTAAATATCATGTACCTTCCACCTCTTGAAACACTGGTCATGGATTCTGAAATATGTACTGGCTTAGCAATTAAAATAGGCACTTTACCAGTACTATACTCAAGATGGGGGGTTTTGAACAAAAAATGCAAATATGAGTATAATGTATGAATTTGTAGCCAGCTTTATTTTTTAAAAAAGTGTTGTGAAATAGATCTATTTAAGATGAAAATGCGTGGTGGTGATAACCTCTCTGCAGTTGACTCATAATCATACTAAGACCTAATGTGGTTTGTTTAGCTTGGCTTGTCCATCAGTAAAGCAAACCATGATTTTGTGTGAACCCCAAAAGGGATAAGTTATTTTTTTAAAGGGAAGGAGTTAGAAAAACAGAAATAAAACACATTTCTAAACTTACCCCTGCAACTGTCTTGCCACTGGGTTAGAGTTGATATATTGTTTTCCTGACCTGTTTGGCCTTCACATATTTTGTGTCCCAGACAGTCCAAAAACTGACCTATTTAAAATACTGTAAAACTGGAGGGTTGCCCTGGCTGGAATAAACCTGTAAGTCATATTGAAAAAGGATGAAGAATTTGATATACCAGGAAACTATTTTAACCCTGTAGTATGAACAAAATCCAGGAAGATGAAGGAAAAGGAGATACTTTCAAACTAAACTTTTACACTGTTCTCCTCTGTGGGCGACAGGGTTTCCCATGGTTTTTCAGGACCCTTTTACAGATGCCACTAGGCATAACCAGGGGGTGGGGGTGGGGTTAAAGCCAAGATGGCAGAAATGACCACGTGTTTGAAACCACACAGTTGTGGGGATTTGATCATACTGTTCCAGCCCCTATCTTTACTTTTTTGGCATCTCCTATAGATACCCCTGGATGCCATCTATTGCTCACAAAGTCAAACTCTGCGTCTGTTGCTAACAAACACAGGTGAGAAATATTGGTTCTTTCCTCAAAGCTATGCAATCGCCAGCAAAAGAGGATTCATATAAGGAAAAGAAAAACATTATTTGTCCCCACTGCCCCACAGACAACAATTTATTCAAATTTTATGTTCTTCAGTTAGGTGTTGAAATGCAAATCGGGAAAACAATAGTTTGACGCTTAGGGATATCCAACAACTGGCTAAACGTTAGGAAAAACCTCATGGCAAGAGAAATTTGACAATGAAATTGGTTACTATGAGAAGCAAGGGGCTCTCCTCTACTGAGTGCTTTCAAACAGATACTGAAGAGACATCTAGCAGGGTTACTTTAATGTGGATTAATTGAAAGGGTCCTTCCAAACCTATAACCCTATCATTAACAATCCAACCACCCTTTCTCCCAGTCAACTGATTTATGTCTGTGGCGCTAGTATAGGATTAATAGCCTTTTTTAAAAGACTCCTCCTAACCTAAGAAGCTAGGTGGCTCTTACTATCCTCTGGACTTCCTATCTTTACTATATTTTTGCACTGTAGAGGGAAAAAAAGAACAAAATTCTACAGTGCTGGAATTGGGATCAGCAACTCCAGTGATGGGTTCTGCCCCTTCTTCACTTTTCAGTGGCCCCAAATGGAATGAAAACAAATACCAAATTTCATCCAGCAAGAAAAGGAACCATTCCACCTAGGAAGATCACCCCATCAATAGATAAATGGCCTTGTCCCATACCTCAGCTTGAGAAGAACTATGCTAGAACCTTGATCTGCCTTCCTCTGCCAGAAAGAATACATAAAAACTAATGCCTGAATTTGCTCTTCCCCCCACTCTTCCTCCTCAATCCCATTTCCTTTTGTGTACAGTTGTTATTTCAATCTTTGTTAACTACTCTGGGAGGCATTTTTGTTCTGAAGGGTAGATCAAATGTACATTACATAAATGTTACATCAACACCTCCAGATGCCTTAAACTTGCCATAACTGAGACACTGTCCCCAACCTGGCACCCTTCGGATGGAATGCAGCTGTTTCTCAAACAACATGTCCAAGGATCCTGTTGGCTGGAAATCCTGGGAGTTTGAACCCCAACACAACAACAGCACCAAATTGGGAAAAAGTGAACTACTGCATCAATTGTAAGTGTGACCTCAGTAGAGACAGCATTGTTGGCCAAATGTCTTTATTTCAAGAGTGGCCCAGAAGAAGAATTTCAACAGACTGAAATTTAACCCATTTCTTATTTTTAACTGACAAATATTCCCAATATATGTAAGACTAAAGTACTCA